GGGAGAAATAACTCACCCTCGATAGATGAACTGATCACACTGCACAGGTTGCGCTGGCTTGGCCACGTGCTGCGTATGCCAGTCGACCGACTTCCTCGAAGGGCCCTTTTCGCCCAACCACGTGAAGGGTGGAAGAGAGCCAGAGGCGGTCAAACAATGGCTTAGCAGCGAAGTGTGAAAGTCATTACCAGCAAACTCATCTGCGCTGGTAATTGTCGTCTTCCTGGATGGGGACACCGAGACGGGCCACATCAATGGCTGGTGACATTGTCAGACATGGCCCAGTCGCACCCTCAATGGCGCTCGTGCTTCAAAGCTATTGCCTTCAATGCATTGCACCTTTTCCACCCCCCCACTTGGCAGCCCACTGACAGTGCTGGATTCATGCACCAACTTACCAGCTCGCGCCCGCAATGCGCAGCTACCTACCCCCTCCTCCAAATCATCGGTGAACGAAACTGCGGCAGCTGCAACGAGTGTACAACGAGTACGCGGTTATTACAGCTGACAGTGATGATGATGAGCCAACCAATCATTCCAAGGTGCCTACACCTCCAGGAGCTTATTCAGACACTCTGGATAGTAACTGACAAGAACGCCATTGACATCGATTAGCAGCCACATCTTGCAGCGTACCTAACCAGGCGCAGTGGAAACCACACGGTCCTCATCCTGGAGAGCGAGTAGCACAGATAGCACCCGGACTTTTCGTAATTTTTTCCTACTCCTCTGCCAGGTCAGGGGTTGATCACTTCTTTGCTCCCGCCACACTGAATTGGTTGGACACAAACGCAATTGCGTTTTACATAACTGAACGTGCTGAACTCAAACGAAGGCTTGCTGTATACTAGTATGCGCCCACATGGGTTCGGATACAGTGCCCTCATAAGGGATAAAAATTAGGACCTTTGATCACCAAACAGCGTCAAAGCTTCTGACGATCGACAGAGCCAAAGGCAACGTTCAGATCAAGAACGGCCAAAGTGGGACGTTAAAGAGTGGTGTTGTTCAAGAACTTGCTTCATGATAAGCTGTCGATGCGTACTCGGCAGCTTGGTTATCACGAGTTCATTTCCCAAGAATTGATCAACTTGCGTGAAATAATACCAGAGGACACCTTGGGTAGAGCGGATACCTGACTAGTGTCACGATGGTTTTCGTATGGCGTCCCCGCTGCCCTTCTCAAAACTGGGGTCACGGATGAGGCGCTCTATTCTCCTGGGATTGTTTTCGTTCCACATCTTCTATGGTAGGGTGATCAGACAGCTCACAAGTGCTTAATTACCTTCTCTAAAAGATGCTGGGTGCAAACCATCCGGGTCATGTGCCTTGTCGCGTTGTAGGAATGATATTTCACGCTAGATTTCTGCTGCTGACAGTGGGTAGGCGTCGATGTCCCATTCAGGTTCGCTGGGTTGTTCCAGAGATTGTGTAGAAGGGAGCCGACAGAGCAGTTTTTAAGGTGTTAACCCTATCGCTCCGTAAGACGATTTGGCAAACCAATTGTAGCTCTACCTTTTTGCAAATTGTTTTTCTGATAACTGTCTTTTTTGAGCCGGTTGATTAAGTCAACCGAAACGGGACGCATCTGTTGACTGCAGCGAAAACCTTCTCCGTCTAGTGAGCGTTCACAATCCACCAGCGTTCTGCCATTCTTTAGGCCCCTTGTTATCCGGTGTCCGAGGGGTCTTGGGATAGATTAGTGGCTGGGACACGAAATTACTCACCGGAAGGTCCGCGGTTCAAAACCAACCACGGCATTTCAACTGCCCTTGTTGTCTAGGTTTGAACAATGTACCAGTATCTCATCCAACGTGCTTTATTCTGATAGCATACCAGCTAGGCACCGAAAGGGTGTTACAACCTGGCAATCATCATTGCCATCGTCGACCATCGTTTGAGGGTGTGCGTGCGTCATCTTGGTCGCGAGTTGCTGGCATGACATTTCTGGCAGCTATAAGATGTGCTGATCTCGATAATATCCAGTGTCCATTTGGTCGAGACGAATGGTTTGGATCGGATTCTTAAAACTGAGAGCATTACTTCGTTAACTCGTGCATCCAACCTGCAACCAACCTTCGTCATATCGGGGCTGTGCGCTTCCATTAGACTTCTAGTCATATTAGCTATCAAACTCGCCGAATTTGATGGACGAAACTGTTCTACTTCACCACGTATAATGTTGAGTGGGAGCGAAGTGACAATCCTGCCCGCACAACGGCGTGCTCGAAGTTAAGCTGTGCAACCCAGATGTAACGCTAATCTTTAGCTAGGGCTCTCCATCGGTAACAAAAAGCCACAAGATACAAGTGAGTCCATGACTGTCTTGTAGGTAGTGGCTCCGGGGTGAGCATTTGTGTTAAGTTGATACTGCATAGGAACAGAATAGCTTGAAATTATAGGGGTGGCTTCGTACCACATCATCGTGTTTCAGCATTAAGGGTGATTCTTGTACCACAGACAGTTACTACACCAGTTGTTTAAACGTAAGACACTGGATGACTGGGCCTCTTTATCGGACCGAGAGACGAATAGTCCCTCATTCAGACCCTCAAGAATCACATCCTAGGGATACTCCTAAGGTTCTTCAAACAGACCTGGTGGTTCATTACGCATGTGAAAAAAGGACCCAGAGTACTGGAAATAGGGCGCTGCCATATTCATTCAGCCAAAGCCCCATATCCTAGATTTGGAGAGTTAGCTGGGAACAAAGCACTGCTGGTAGCTAGCCGTAAACCAGCCGCAAGGCTCCAAAAAAACATTGCAGCTGGACAATTGTTGCGTGGTGACAGTCTGTGTAGATGGTCCCAGTGCGTACGAGGCATGGCTAGTAGGCAGAATGCGTCAACGTTATCCCATGATAGATTTTCGCACGGTTGCTACTAGCTTCTTTGCATCAGACAACACGAACGGCACACGAAGTTTCATTTATCTTGTGAGCAGACGTAAGCCTGGAACGGAAAGGTTTCGGAGTTCATCGGCACACGCATCCAAGTGGTGCACTGAAAACCTTGAGCGGCTCCCCCTTATTTGGGATATCACAAGTCGTAAAACTTTCTCTACCGATCCGCCACCCATTTCACTTAGCTGCCAGAAAACTCCTACAGACGCTCTTGTCAGGCGTTGCTCTATTACCTATTGATCGTTACGGATGCTACCGTAAGCTGATGACAGCGCATTTGAGTGACTCGTCCACCCAATTAAGTTGTACTACCTTCTAACTCAAGTGTGCGGTCGCTACCATAATCAGGATGTCATAGTTTGGTACATAATCGCGCGTTCTCTGTAGTTGTACAGCATACTGGATGGTGCTGTAGGCATTCTTTGACAACCCAGGCGCCCAATCAGATTCGTATCTTCGGAGAACATTGTGAACATGCAGATAAAATGAAGAAAAAGCACAAAGTTATCGGAAGTTGCTTTTGCTGCCTCTATTGCGCTACAACTGAAAACTGACAAAGCCAAGTCCTTTGCGTATGCCATTCCAGGTATCCCACTCTCCGCCTCCGCCGAACTCCGTAAGCTTGCAGCTGCTTCTAGATGTCTTGAATAGGCTATTTTCTTGAACAGCCGAGTGGAAGCCTACGCGCAGTTTGCGAACCACAACCAGTTTGCACGGAGTTGAATGTGGTATCAAATGCAGACTTATTATGCCCACGTGGATCCGAGAGAAGAAACTGACGGAGATGCACACAAAGCCCCCGTACTATCTAACATGATGGCACGACTGTGCATCATCACCATGGACAGTGCATACCAGCGACAAATATTTGTTTGCTGATTTCTTTAAGTTTCAGCCGTCGAGAGGAAGAGTTTGGATTCCAACCAGGGACCTTGGGGACGAGATGACTCAGAGGTTAGAGCGCGAATTTACTGACCGGAAAGTCCGTGGTTCGAAGGTGACCCGCTTCTCAACTTCCCTTGTCTAGGCTTGGGCAACATGACAGTATCCCAGCCCTCGCGCTTCCTTCTGGTGGCATGGCAGTTAGGCGCCAATAGGGCGCTACAGCTGAAAGAATTTTTTCTAAAGTTAATTAGTATTCGAAAGTTATTCCTCATATGAGTAGCTGATAAATATACCAATGTTTCCATCAGATAGCTCTTGGATGCAACTGAACCGAAAAAGCTCTAAGGTTGTCTTGAACGGCAAACGCATCTGTGCGTGAAATGACGGCTTCGGAAACTAGGTGTTTTAAGAACTTTATTACTTAATACTAGTTTTCGGGGTGCACTTAATTGCATATTGCACACATATTGCACAAATGACAAATCAGAGCAAGATATGACGCACAAGCAACAGTATCCTGTTCCAAAGATCTGCCTGGGAGTTTCAACTTGTGTGTCAGAAAAAAGCATGCCAATACTTGTTTTCTAGCATACCTGTAGCTGTAGCAGCTGAGTTTGGGCGTTCGAAACTCCTGCGCAGATTCCACCATCCGGACCCGTATCCTTCATATTTTCAGGGACACGGCCTGTGACTTCTTTGTTAAATACCGTTATTAAAACGGGATTAGTGACGTACCTGAAGAAGCATGTGCCCTATCTTTGTTGTCCTCCTGTGTTATCGCGGATGCAATTAAGTTGTTTGCTGAAGAAAATTGTATTTTAGTCCGTCGCAAAAACAACCCAACCTACCACTCTGAACGACAGCCTGGTTCTCGGGGTCATTTAGAACGTTTTGAAGTGCTTGTATGATTGGAAGTGGAAACACGGAACTACGCTGCCAGAGATACAAAACACGCGAAATCATCGGTTTGTCTTTCTCCTCACATTGTAAGAGTGACAGGAAAACCGCGACTAAATTTCGCATAAACCGGGGACCATACACATCTTTATCCTGATAAAAAGACTGAGACTGTCGAACAACAGCATCGATGACGTAGAGCCCTGGAATCTTCAATTCGGAAGGGCATCGAATAATGAATTTTTCTACACTTTGAACCACGTGCTTGTAAAATTTTATTGCTTTCAGTGCTGCGCGAGTGATGGATGCCATCTTCTTCCGCGAAACTGGCAGTGGAGTTTCTTTCAGAGAATTTAGCTGAAAAAATTTGTTCGCACGTGAAATCAAGAATACCCACCTCCGCATTAAAGGCTGTAACGTATTCCATGGTGACTTAAATCAGATTATATACACAGATGCTTTTTTGTTTCAACAAGGAACCCAGTACGCGCTACAGTGTGGAGCTCACGCGGTCGTATTGTCGTAAGAACACATCAACGACATGCATCGCGAAGCCAACTCGGTCACTTCAGAGCTACCGCGGTCTGGTTTGGCGGCCCATTCGTTTGTTCAGTTCAAAATCAACAAGGAAGTCGCTTGGTTCACGAGTATTCTCGGCATGTCCAACAGGTCCTCCTTTGAGCAGAAGGCCAGAGGCCGGTCAGATCGGCTAGGTGTAGTGTCGATACTGGAATTAAAGCTTGGAGGGTCGTAAAGTGGGCTGGAGGGCCAGGCCTTGCCAGGTGCTTATATCGAATATGGATTTTTTAAGAGGATTCGATGTCCTTTAAGTATGTGTTCCAAACCATTTCTCAAAAATCAGTAACAAAGAACAAGTAGGACAATCCGACGCTTATTAGGTTGTTCAACCGCTGTAAGCCAGGAGTCCGCTGACTGAAGTTACGACAGCTTATGACGGTAAAAGTCTTGCGCGTAGACAAGAATCAGCCATTCAGGTACGTGAGACATGGTCGAACAAAGACAAAACAACGGTTTCTGTCCGGGCAGAAGGGACAGAAAATCTGCGAGTGACCCTTTAGTGGTAGCAGAAGCTTACAGAGAACGCTGCGTGCATTCATACTCTGCCCCAACCACCTCATAATACATACAATACGAAACCAAACTGTCCTCATTAGAGAGCACAAGCTGATGTATCTCCTTTAGCGCGCTGAAACCAATAGTTCTGGAAGATAGACAGCTAACCCTGATTCAAAATTTCTCCTTGATGTTCTCTCAGTCTCCCGGCAAAGTTGTGCCAACCTTCACGTCTAAATATCGTTTATTGCACGGCTGCTCCAGGTGTGTCCGTAACGCCAGCATACCATGCAAGGTGTTGGAACGAACTCTTACTCAAACTAAATCACTTCAACACGGATGAGTATATGTCGCCGGCGTGATTTGGATTTCTGGAAGTTTGTTCGGCAAGCTTGCGCCACATTTGTGGGTTTGATGACGCGATTTCACCGCGGCATTTTCAGTATTGACTTGCTCAGTCTCAGCCCCAGCCACGAACAGATATCTTTTCATTGAACCCACTCAGAATGCATCCCAAGGCAGATACTTCTGGAACTGAATGGGAAGTATTTTACACTCGGCACCAATTTATTCAACTTCATAACAGCAGAATAAACAGCAGTTCATCAGTGCGACAAACAAACCTGTTGGTAAGTTGGTCTTCATAATTGTATGTCATTTTGCCTTCTGTGTTCGTGAAATACGCAACAATAAAATGGCTGTATCCTTCATTTCCGAATCTACTTCAAGTAAAAGTGCTACACAGCAAACAGGATACGGTCTTACCTTGCACTACACCTCTTCCGGTACATCAAGTAAATTATTGAGATCCATCAGTCGGTGTGGCCTACTGATAAACAGATATTATTGTGTGCCAGTAGCAGCGATAAAGATTCTCAGTGCGACGCAACACGGATTATGATGCCAAAGGGTTCTCGTTGTCCACTAAAAAGACTATCATGCATAGTTAGAGCCTGGCTATTTGTGGTGCATATTTTCATCAGCCTGGCAGTTATAATACTACAGATTCACTGATGCACGATCTGATATGCGGGATTAAGGCTTTTCCTCGATTGTTGTTTGTCCTTGTCTTTTAGCGTCTTCAATTCACTGGGAAGGCACAATCAAAGAAAGGGTGTAGCATCTCTCTTTAAATACTCAGCTCGGAGCAGTATCAGTGCTAGTGAAGGGACTCGCAAAAGAAGCACCTAAAAGAGTTTTGAGCTGGGTACTAGAACCAGTGTAAATGACCGCCAGAAGTTTACTACACGTACCAACTTCCAGAAATGAGAAGAATTGCTGCCTAATAACAAAGCGCCCCCTGAGTTTGAAAGTATTCTTAAAAGGTGCTTGCCGTGTATTATTTGGGTAATCGGTGAAAAACCTGTTGCCCAAATCTTGCTATAGGTCTAATTGGGGGCGAAGATACTCTAAGAGAAAAGAGCAGTATCCGAAGACGCGTTTCGTTATCGAGGGATTTGAGGATGCCAGAAATCTTTCTGGCAGTTCTTTAGACACTGTCAGTGAGAGTTACGTCCTTTTGCGTCCAGATTAGGAAACTTGATCGGCGTGTACAACCAGCGACCAGACGTACACCCAACAGAGTATATCTAGAAGTCCTTAAGAGTAATACGGAAAACGGAGAACTTTTAACCGATTTTGTAAGACGAACTGGGAAGGACTGTTTGAAGGCAGCCAGAAAACTACATCTCTTCAGGATAATAATAATGGGTATATATTTTCAACTTGTGGGAAACTTGTCAATCGAGGCATAAGCTAGTCGTTACACCCTCAACTCCGCAGACAACAACACTACAGGGAGGAGAGTACAACCGAAGAGATACGCTTATTGGGCAAAAACTCACCAAAGTTGTGCGAGCCAAAAACCTGAACAGTGGGGCACCAATTTCTGCTGACGCTGGCCCTCGAATCTATGCCCCAAATTTTCATGAAACCGCAGTCTGACAAAAGGAATCTCCAACATAGATTTTTGGTATTTATTGCTATTGATGAGAACCCTTAAAATTTCCATATGCTTCCTTAGATTTTGGAAGCTGTTTAGTTTTTAAAAAGCTGGTTTCTTTACGTGCTTTTCTCTGTATTGGATTTGAGAACAATCACAAGAATACATGGACACTAATTACGCCTTTTGTGTCTGCTGAAGCTCATAATGGAGCAGGCATTTGCAACCCACATGGGCGAAACCCTTCTGTTGCTCCGGCAGGCGCACCGCAGAACAAAGCTAGTAAGCATTTTCGTATTTTCCGAGTGGTCAGCACACGCTGTACAAGCGCAAGGCAAACTGTAATCTTCACTGGTATACCAAGTCCTTGATAGTGCCGTTTATAGAACTGCTGGGATGATGAGCAGCTTAAGCGAACAGTTCACTAGGATGGCCGGCCCCGAAAAATGGGCGGACTGGCGTGGCCCTTTGGGCAGACTTGTCGTGCTCGTCTGGGAAACATTAGGCATATGGTAAACCGCAGGCCAACCATCAGACTATGTATAACAATCGGAATACCGTCATCGCGATATTCTGCTTTGGTTCACGGACAGCCCCGTAAGTGAATATCTCGGATGAGTCATTTAGGGTTGCCATTGAGTTTAAAATCTGTCAAGAAATCGTAGAAAATAAAGGCCGGTATGGATCAAAAACTTTCGGGTCCATCGGGGGAACACCGTATTTCATTGCTGTCATTGAAAACTTAAAAAGACGGCCATGTCTACGATGGGAAAAGTATCAGAAATGCCCGCTGGAAAGCGCTATGATATTAGACTGCGTCTTGAAATAATCACCAAACATAGATGTTCACAAAACTCAAATAACACGGTGAGGCAACACTCTTCCACTTGAAAAGCGATGGTGTGTGGTTGCGTGTTTGTACAATGAAGTGACCTCAGAATAGCGCACTCATAACCTAAAGAATAGGGTGAATTTCTTGCAAAGGGAGTTGCCGCTGAGGCGCCATACCACGCGTATCTGGTGAGTCCCAGCAATGTTTGTTGTGCTATAATTGAATTTTTGGATTTTTAGGTGGACTGCCAGAGATAAAACCAGGGCAAGCTCGGGAGGGTTACAGAGACGTCCGACAATTCACGGATTCACGGATTGATACACAGGATCGAGGCTTCTGCCCAAGTATCCCGGGTCGGTTTTGTTCTTGTCGGTCAGTGGCTGTCGTTCACCTGAAAGGCACAAGTGAAAAAAGGGTGTAGCACTGCTCTTTATG